CCAGTTGGACTTTATGTTGGCAAAATGCAGTCACCTGGACTGAAGCTGTGACAAGACTCTCAGGTTAGCATGCTCAGCCAGATTGAAGGATCGTATTTCCCAGATGGAACTGGCATTTCAGTCAACACTGGAGGCATAGCCACTGCATTCAGTGCTCAGATCTGCTGTCAGGAATAAATACTTAATGACAACATTGCCAGGTCTAAGAAGAAAGCTGCCTGTGTCATTTTGCCAGTACCAGCAGGTCTGGTCCCTTTGCTAATGTGTCCATCAAAAAGATAAAGTAGGCATAAAGGATGGTGTAAATCAGATTCTTTTTAGACAAACCCCTAGGGCTAACTGGCTACTTTAGGCAAGCTTATGTTCTTGCTATACTTACAATTGATTCAATACAGGGCTAGCTCTCTTTGGCAGTCATTAATTCCAATATAATTTTAATATAAGCAGCAAGAGAGGGAGACAGTATGCTGCAATTTTTATCCCATCACAACAGGGCATCTAGTGGAAGGCAAATGGGGTATACCCTCGAAAGGTCTCGGTAGTAAAGCAACCAGCAGATAATACACCATGAGACTAAGTGTTATAGTATGCTTTTCTAATAAAAAAAGGCTTTTATAAGGTATTAGGAATTGGGTATTTCACATATTTTGTTCAGAGAAAGTTCAACAAAAAGAAAAACACAGAAAGGACTGAAAGAAGATCTGACCTGAACAGGACTGAAAAAAATAATCCTTTAACTCTGTATCCCCCTTTCTTTTACCTAAGCTTCTTAGAACTTCATCTGAATCCCTAACAAAGATGTATTTCTAACAAAAGCTGCGGGTTCAGTGGGCTGCTTTTCATTTATGCTGTCTCTCCCTAATGATTTGGTTCTGCCAACTTTGCTCGTACATCCATTGCTGCAAGGGAAGAAATACGTGTGAAGCCACCGACATCAGAACTTCAGTGAAAGAGCAGGTGACAGAACCTTGTTCTTGTCAGGCCCCTATCAAATGTTAAACACCTTCCCCTTCCCTCGCTCACTGATCTCCTCAAGTACTGCACGTGGCTGAGATTAAAGCCATTTCCCTGGATTAATGTGCTCCGCACAAAAGACTTACCCAAAGAACAATTAAAGCGCCTGGTCATTATCCCCCACATTCAGAATTTTCCGAAACAAAACAATCAAAAGCAAGTAAGGGCAAAGAGGACCACTCAGTTACATTTCTGGGTCAGCAGAGGAACTCCAGCCGGTATGTAGCAATCAGGAACTCTAATGAC